GGGGGGGGGGGGGGGGGGGGGGGGGGGGGGGGACAAGTTGGGCGCCGAAGCCGCGAACACTGAAAACAATTAGTGAGTTTAAGATACCCCGGTTTCGGTGTACGGGTACGAGTAGTGTCATCTTGTTTACTATAGTTTTTACTGATGCCTGTAATTCAATCATACTTTTTCTGTTTTCTTGCAATAGACAATGATATAATGCGGAAAATGTGCACCTTAATTACGAGTAAAGGTACAGACATGGACGAAAATATTGCTAACCAAAATCATGCTACCCGTACTCGTACACCGAAACCGGGGTATCTTAACCTCTCTAATAAGCGAAATTAACCCTTTGAAATGACAAAGCACCAAAACGAGGCTAGTCAGGCTTGTTTGCTAAATCTAGCATAAATTTCGGTAATTTTAACATTTAATTTCTCAAAGAGAACTGAGAATACATGGCATTATATTCACACTTTGTCTTCGGACGTATTCTGTAAGGCGACAGCAATTACGTTGGTTAAAAATTAAAATTAATTTCGGGAAAAAGGTATGCCAACAATTTTTCAAATCGATGCATATAAACGCGGTGATTTTTCTGGAAGCTCAAGTATGATAACTATAGCTTAAACAGATTTCATTTACCGAATGTAATGAAATTAAGTTTATTGGAAGAATCATCTGGTCATTTAACTGATACCAGTTGTTAATCATACGAAACTGTTTAAGAAATTGAGGTGGCCCCAATTTTTCATCGTGAAAATTAAAATCTGGTGTAGCCATAAGTTCGGTTTTAAATGTTTCAAGGGCCTAAGTCATATGGGATGAATTATTTTAAGTGTTTATATGACATCCCAGCTAATAATCCGCCTTGGTCGGACGACATTACGTAAACATGGATTAGTTTTTGAAATATATTTTGTTGTGATTAAACAATTTTTTAAAAAAATTTTTAGTGTGTGTTTAGTTTTATATTTTGTTTGTATTTCCTAAATACGCCGTGTAACTATATTAGGTGTCAAAAACGACAAACGATGTCCATCCTGATCAGGTACAATGGGCCAGTGTTCCGTTTTGTGTTATACTCAGAGACAGAGGTCCTGATTTTAATGAATACTGACCTAAATACTTCAAACGGGGGGTTATTAGCATACGCTGCGGCACCCTAATTTAAAACCTCTGCGCAATTTCTCGTCACCCTTAAAAATACTGGTTTATAGGTTTTACGCCCCGATGGGGCTGAGATGTTGAGAGTTACCATGAGAGTTGTAACTCTCGCTCGTCGCGAGCGACCGGCAAACTCTCATCGGGTCTCGTGCACTCTCGTCAACCGGCTTTGAACTGGTTCAAATTTTGATGAGAGTTGTGATGAACGTTTCCGCATACGCGCGCGGTAATATCCAGTCAACTCTCATCAATTCTCATGCACTACTCTTGTTCTCATTTGACCGGGGCATGAGAGTTGAGAAAACTCTCATGCAAAATCTTGCTTCTCAACCCTCATCAACTCTCTTGTTCTCGTTTGACTGGGGCATACACCCTTTTCATAAATGGCTGCCGATTAAAAATTCTTTTATGTGCATATAACTTGGCCCAACTAGCCTCGTACTCATGTTAAGATTTCAAAGGAATTTCTACCCAGAAACGAGGCTAGTTGGGCCAATTTATATGCACATAAAAGAATTTTTAATTGGCAGCCATTTTTAAAAAGGGTGTATGAGAGTTGAGAAAACTCTCATGCAAACTCTCGCTTCTCAACTTTCATTAACTCTCATGCAACTCTTGCTCTCGTTTGACTGGGGCATGAGAGTTGAGAAAACTCTCATGCAAACTGTCGCTTCTCAACTCTCATCAATTCTCATGCAAATCTTGTTCTTGTAATGTTTGACCGGGCCATGAGAGTTGAGAAAACTCTCATACAAAATCTTGCTTCTCAACTCTCATCAACTCTCAAGCAACTCTTGTTCTCGTTTGACCGGGGCATGAGAGTTGAGAAAACTTTCATGCAAACTGTCGCTTCTCAACTCTCATGCAACTCTTGTTCTCGTTTGACTGGGGCATGAGAGTTGAGAAAACTTTCTGTTGAGTTTCATGCAAACTCTCGCTTCTCAACTCTCATTCTACCGGGGCTTTACTGATAGCTTAGTTGAACAGACCAGTAGTACCTAGCACGTAAATAGGAGTACGCTAGCTGTTCGAAAGGGTGAATTGGCTGGCAAAGAGTACAAATATGTGTCAGCTAATAGGTCTATGTTTCGTTATTCACTGCACTATGAAGGTTATTCATAGCTCTGTGGACAATTGGGTACTAAAAGCTGCTGTGGTTTGCGCCTAAACCACCTAAAATTAGATACAGTTAAAACAAAAACCACAACAGCGATATATTAATTGCAGAACACTGGAGCCGGAGTTTCATAACGAAGGGCTTTCGACTGCTCCAGACGTCGAAGTTTGCTAAATCTCTTTCTACCTAGCCTACGGTAAACGTGTTTCTGCTGGGGTCTACACCGTAGGCTACTTTCTATCAGTTCAGACACAAAACAACGCCGGACGTTTACCGTAGAACACTACCCAACACTAAACCCCCACGTTTGAGAATGCAAGACATGCAAGTTTGCCAAAAATGCATAATAGGTGGCAGTAGGCTTATGAAATGTCAAAGTAAATCTCAGGTGGTTTAGACATAAACCACGGCAGGGTAATGCTGAATACTACATCACATTGGACCCCTCGTTTCAGGAATACGTTTCAGGAACGTATAGCAGAATACCATCTACACTGGACCCCCGCCCCAAGTTGAAATATCTTTTTCAGCCCGTTTTCATGTAGTTCAGACACAAACCACGGCAGCTTAGCAGAACCTAATAGGTGTATTAAATGCTCAGAATGGATTAGGAGCGACAGAGGCATTTGGGGCGACGTTGGCGCGACATGCGAGTGTCGCACTAAACGACTCTGGTGCGACAGCAATTCAAACGTCGCTCTTCTCATGCGCCGAACATTAGATGCGTCAATTATTCTAATCTGCGTTATATGTCATCTATTTCTCGTGTATTTATGTTAATTATCTATGATTTACATTGGGAGCGACATATTGAGTTCAACGTTTGATTTGAGTTTTTTAATCGTTTGGTTCAGCGATTAAAAAAGCGACGTTTGGCGCGGGCCTTAAAACCAGCTACGGAGCTACCTATACAATAGGTTCCCACGTTTAAGATATCTTTTCTGATAGTTTAGACACACAGCACGGACTGTTATTATACAATACTACCCATATTGGAGACAAGATTCATAATCCGTTCATACTAACCTTTTCTCTTGCGCGTTGTCCGCGGTAAAACAAACGAAGCTGGCAGTGTTGGTTTTGCACCTGTCTTGTTCTGGAAGATACAGACCTCCGTTTTTATCAATGGATACTGGTCACACTTCAGCGCATTGGGCCAAAGGTAGCCATTCTTTTTTAGGACACCCGAACAGCCCTTCTGTACATCAAGACATAACTCCCGACATGGTGGCACGAGTTTATTGATGGAAGTACACATTGGAAAATAGACCGAACAAAGAAACGTCAAAACGTCGAGAGAGCAGCCTTGGCTCAACAGAGGACGCAGGCTGTTAACGCTTTTTATGGCTTCGGATTGCTTGCGATGGCCCAAATAATTTGGGAAGATTGTTCGATTGTAGTCCATCTGCCGACATATATCATAGGTGAGGGTTTCGCATTTGTCGTCTTTCGGCGGTATTAGCGGGTTATAACTATGCACTGCTGTTTGCGCACAGAGGAGAACCAAGAGTCCCGAGATGACTTGGTAACCCATGGTCGAATCGCGCTTCTGCCTTTTCGAATCGAGCTATTTAGCTATACGGTCAGTTCAGTCTACCTTCCCTGGCAAGCGAACGAAGACTAATCCAGCACAGATGGAGACGTTTCGTTTTTGTACTGACGTACTGTTTATCTGCGGTCTTGTGAGTTGAATGCCGCGCGTTCCAGAGATAATGTGTTTTGTAGCAGTGGCTTGGCGGTGGCGCCTTGCAATTACGATCGACCTAACAGGTCGTGGCCCGATGTGATACGTTGTAATACTTGGAATCCGGAATACGGAGTCTATAGAATCTGGAATTTGCGGCGTTCGTGTATGCGGTTCCATTTCATTTCACTTTGTGAACAACCAGTCTCGACTGACAGTCGTTGCCATGCTACGAATTGAGCTGAGAGGTATAACTATATCTGAAAAATATATAAGCTGAACTTCGAAGCTATCCTTAAATATAAATCAAAACATCGCCATTTGGCTCATATTTTTGAGGTAATTGTATCTTTCGGCAATCCGCGGCTGTAGTGGATCAGTTTCACCTCTGTGACTGAGGTTCAAGTTTAGCTATATCAGTGTAACCACTGTAACGAGAACCATATTAGTGTCATAGCAATAGTTTTATGCAACAACAGTCCCTTTTAATGTGTCGAATAGAAAAAAAGTTTTGTGTGAACTAAGATTTATATAATTCTGAACCACTTCACTCTTCAGCCTGAAGTCAAAATTCACCGGCTGGTTCTTTTATGTGGGGCTTTACTGTCTTAAAGTTTTGTCGGATATAAATTTTACCTCAGTCGAATGTGAAAAGAGTATGATGCCTGTCATATGAAAGCTAAATCTTGAACAATGACTTTTATAGCAGTATATATATAATATGAGTTTTGTAGATGGAAAGTTTCGTGCGAAAACCACTTGAGATATTCTAGACCAAAACATTCAAAATTCTGTTCTATCAAATCTAAATCAGTTCTGTTCTATCGAGTCTAAAATCTATAATCTTTTCTTTTTTTGAAGTACTATATTGTATTTGGTAATATTTTCACAATGTGCTTATCATCAGCCACGAGGATCAGCCCGCATGCCCATATTGAGCGGACGTTGGAGATGTCAAAATAGTGAAATATGTTTGTATATATTATGGACCTTACGCACGTACGACGCCGGGCTACGCGACGACGACACGGCAAAAACGAACTTCTTCAATTTGAAATTATTGCGAAGAAAAATTGTTGTGTATTGCCGTGTCCAATCCATGGAATGCCTGTACTGCTAACTGCTGTAGTACGGTTTGCCGAGGAGATTAAAACCGCAAAAGGCATTTCTGCTGGGTAAATGTGTGGTATACCATTTCTGGCGACTTTGAAATGTTTGTGTTGTACAAGAAACGTAAAAATCTCTGGTTTGTCGCTGTAAAATAGCGCTTTAGTGCTAACACAACGCATCTAACTCCCGCTTGGGGCTTTTAATTATTCATTTCTTCGGGCCTAGCCAACCTAGACTAGATTATATTTTTCTTGTATTTCAGTCTTAAATTCAGTCTTTGTACTATTTACAACATGAGCGGCCGTGTTGTATCGGATATACAAACTCGAGCCGAAGGCGAGAGTTTGTATATCCGATACAACACGGACGCGAATGTTGTAAATGGCTTAAAAAACGACTCGTCTTATGAGTTCATTGTCGAAGTAATTTTAAAAATAAACGTTGTCTAAGCCGAGAAAATCAAAATTAAAGTTTATGTAAATCAACATGAATCTGTTTCACATATACAGACTCCTTCACGCCCATGATTTCTTTTGTGTTTTCTTCATGAATTATTAATGCGTTTTTTAATATGTATTACATGTCATTAAGTACTTTCTAAATTTCGTGACTATAAACTTTTTCATGGTTTTTTACAAATGCATAAATAATTGAAGTATACACTAGTACAAACTTCAGTTTCCCGATTCCAGACCTTTCCAGACGTTAGAGTCCAGATATTACAACGTACCGAAGGAAATCCACGTATCGTCAAGTGCGCAAAATGTGTTTACCCGCACGCACTGCGCTTTGTAACCAATGCCGCGAATTATGCAAATAAGCCGACGGGAGACTGTCTAGATTAAGCTTTATATGTCAACGTGGTCAAGAAGTTTTGCGTCATGAAATGTTCCTTGACGCTCGCGAATCTGGACGATCTGAACGTCGATATTTGCGTATCTTGCGCAAATTGGATAATTCGATAAAGAAAATTGCATTCCGGTAGTCGGTGTGTTCTCGGGTTAATCAAAAAGGCTTGCCTCTCATTTTCGGCGCGAGGGCACTTTAGTTGGCTGTTGAGTGACAAGTTGTGCCCATGTGGGACACACAGCATTTTGGAATTCAAGAGGAGTGCTCCAAACTTGCATGGGGTTAAATCCTTTTGTTTTTATAAAATACATATATGGCTGTGAAGTTATCTCAATGACATCAATAACATTTATGTATGTAAGTCAAACTTATTTACACCGAATAGCTTTATCAGTCGAACGGGAACCCCAATATACGTAGTGTCCCGATTCACACAATGAAACAGGGAACACATATAAAACCTGAGAAATGGAGAAATTGATTTAGCAGCACTTCCTAAGCCGAAGAAAGAATTTGGCAACAGTGGTGCAGTATTTTGGAACAATCTTCCATACGAGGCAAATGCATCAATGCATCCATAAGCTAAGCTCTCTTAAAACGATTCTGAAACAAACGAGGAGTTGAAACCGGCTCGTTTTATTTTCATCTTTTGTCTTCTTATTGTGTCATGTAGGGAGTACCCTTGTAATGTTCCCATCATGTTTTGTAAATTTGCATTCATGTACACGCCCCTCGTGGCAACCAGCTGATAGTTATTTAGGTCGAGCGTGTTTAAAAAAAGTCTGTATATATCAGTGTAACCAAGGAAACATCGAGTAAACCAGCTATAATTTTACCAGTACAACTACAGGAGGAAACCTATAAAAATTTTACTTACATTTTTTTCTGGATAGCTTTATCGGTTCCAAAAAGTACAAAACATCACATCATGGAATTAGCCATTCTCACGTGGGCCAATATTCGCCATTTTTGCTGGTGTCTTTCCACGTCCAAGAATCTAGACAATTTTAATTGCAATAAATTTTAAAAACAATGTGAAAAGGTAAATTTACCATTATTTGACACACAACGCAGTATAATAAAACGTCGCATTTCGCGGTGCCTACATCACTCACGCCCGGTTACATGAGGCCGGAACGAAGTCAAACCGGGACCATTTCGTTTCGGTCATAGTATTATTTATAATAGATGTTTACATGAGACCGGGACGAAAATAACTCAGACCGGTTTCAAGAAAATAACTTCAGACTGGGATGAATGTACTCACAAAAACATTTCAGACTGGTCTCGGCTGTAACTTTGAGACCCTTGACATTGGAACTATACGGCATATGCTAACAAAAGTCATCTAGAAAAGAAAATTGCCTGGCAAGGGGAATAAATTGAAAATTTTGTGATTTTCGTACCGGTATCATGTAAACATGTTGACAATTTCAATTTTCATTCCGGTATAAATCGAGCGTGAGAAATGCTAATTATTAGAATCTTGAACTGTCTGTGCCAGTGTGTAGGCAGTGCCAATAATAACAAGCCGCTTTCGTTGGTACTGGAATGCAACTACCTGAAAATATAATGGGAATTTCGACGTTTCGAGCGAAGGCCCTTCGGCTTCGTACTCTACCATGCAACGAAAGCTTGTATTGAAGAATGGGTCTCAAACTCAGTAATAATTCATGAGTAAAATCAGTATAATAGCCAACCGTATTGCTTTATCTTGCTCACATGATAATACTGGATACCTGGGATCCAGTACTAGGACTACTGGATCAAAATTAGTTAGTCCTTGGACTGGATCAAATTAATTCACCTCACTTTAAGTAGTGATTTTAGTTAATATTCCTATGAGATGTCATTTCAAATCCTGCAATTCGGACTGGACTAGATTTCAAGTCCTCTCCCATTTTGATCAAATTGAATGGACTTGAAATCTAGTCCAGTCCTCATAGTCGGATTTGAAATATTACGTGAAAACATGAATCGTGACACGAGAAATTGTACGAGATGAGGTGAGATCAGACCTGGTAAAAGTGTTTAATGTTCCTCGTATCCTTAATTTTCCTTTTTCAAATGTTCCTCAAAAGTGCGTAAAAAACAATGGGAACTTTAATTGACCGTACATTATGCCAAATTTGAACATTTAACAATTATTCGCCGAAGGCGAGGTGATTATCGGGGAATATTCGCCGAGACGAAGTCGAGCTGAATATTCCCAGATAATCACCAAGCCTGAGGCGAATAATTGTTTTAGTATTTTTACACAAGTCTTTTGTGTTTTTGGGACTGAATTTATTTTAATTTCGCTTATTTCTTTATCAGTAACTTCCACAAAACGGCTAGCCGCCATTTTGAAAATTTCGGTTTTGTTATATTCACCCGTAGGTGAATATAACAATATTCACCCGTAGGTGAATATAACAGCTTAATACGTCAAATTTGACCAATCAAGGTGTAGGAGTGTTATGTTCACTTGTGCAAAAATACTAATGAAGTTGAACAATACTTCACATAAGGAAGGATGGTATAATGAAGATTCTCCAGCATAACGTGAAAAATGATTTGTGAAAAATGTTCCTCAGGATCCAGTATACCCCGAGTCCCACGTACTTTGTTCCAGGTCTGGGACCTGAGGTATAAATACTGTCAATGTCTGCTGATGTCAGGCATCCGATGACCCGGTATTAGACGGCTGACTATGTTTAAAGAGCGCTCGTTGAGACCATTTGTAGGGCCGAAGCCCGAAGGGAGCAAAGTTGGGCAATGTTTCTAAATTGTTTTTCACCTAAATTAAGATCAGAAAGGGCTGGACCATCTCGGCTTACTTTTCCAGTGTTACAGGAGGAAATCAGTTCACCAACACAAGTCTGTATGGTTCTATCTAGAGGTTCAGTAAAGCCTGATTTACACTATCAAAGTTTCTGTGATCACAGTAGGAATTTTGAATCGGTAAATTCTAAGTTTTTAAGGATTTGTAAGGTATCTTTGAGGGGAATGATTCAGTGTTTAATACCGAGTCAGTTCCCTCAAAGATTTCTTACAAACTCTTCAAGACTTAGAATTTACCGATGCAAATTAAAATTCCTACTGTGATCACAGAAACTTTGATAGTGTAAACTAACGCCCTTATCGTCTTATTGAATCAATAAGTATATGCAGGAAGGAGCCCACTCCACCATTTCTAAAGCACAGATGGTAGAATAATCAGTTAAAATGTATAACATTTTGACATTTCATGAAAAATTGCGAAAATTAATATGAAGTTGGCTCAAGCATAATTCTTGAAAATAGATTCATTTTATTTCAAAATGGGTCTGACTTGGTGATTTTAATTAGTACCGCGTTGTCTGCAGGCCGTTAGTAGTAAGTTTCCAATATAAACCATTAATCTAATTACAGACAAACAAGTTTTCATATAGCAATTTGTATTTACTCGTCTACATAGGCACCTTTGTGCCAATTTTTCTATGATGACAATTAAAGTACAAATTTTGCTCGTCTGTGAGGGCCTAAAATTTGTCATGGAAAATTACGACATTACCGAGATATTCGCTGATTACTTTGTGAATAATCGGATCAAATCCACCAACACAAGTACAATACCAGAAATAATATAAAACACAACTTCACAAGTCATATAAAAGAACAAATGTTGTAAAGCATCGATATTTGGAATGGACTGAAATCTAATTAAAAGATCACCACTTCCTGTAATACTTAAAATACGATAAAAGTGAATACTTCTTATATACTGTAAATAGTTTTTCACATTTACTCTCTTAAATTTCCTTCCTCTTACTTATAATATTTTAAATTTTGTTGACTGCAATTAGAAACAACTACTTACATTAATTATTCTTCTAAAACTTTCACCTCTGGTCATCATTAATTATATAATTCAATTCACTTTCAAACAGGATTTTTCAAGAGGTTTATTTTATTTTTAACAACGTTTCGGACAGTTTTACTGTCCGTCTTCAGGTTCCGAAACGTTGTTAAAAATAAAATAAACCTCTTGAAAAATCCTGTTTGAAAGTGAATTGAATTATATAATTAACTACTTACATTGGTAAGATTAGGGGTTTTAAATAAAAACCTGTCAAGTATTTTGGTAGGCCCTTATAGGCCCCTATAGTATTAAGTATTAGAAATACATAGATATTACAAGTTATGATATATTGGGCAAAATAAGCAACAACAAAATAAATAGTCACAGAAAACTCGTCTCTAATCGGATTTAACCACGCTGTTTCTGTGTAATACGTGTTTTAAGGTGGGCGTTGAGAATGATCAGTATAAATTTCAAATTTCCGCCCGTATCTCTAGCTCATGTCATATACACATGGCCAATCATTCATCGCACCATATTACCACAAGATATCAAACTACCAACGGAAGTGGTTCGAGTTTTTCCCATGCAAAGAACTTATTAGAACTGTCCAAATGAAAATGAAATGTCAAAAGGCAAAATCTTTCCAGACGTGGGGTGTGTTTTGTAGCGATAGCTTATATCAGCACCCAGGCGACTCGAAATATCTTTGAAATTTTGGGAGGTCTTGGTAGCATTGTGCATGCAATTCATCTCTAGTATATATCTTTCAGCTCTGTGACCGAAGTTCAATATGTAGTTTTGAGTGATTAAAAGTTTGATTCATATATGAGAAGACTGCTTCCAGTTTGTCTTTATCAAACACCACTGGAGTGCTCAGGATTCTTCGAGAGTAACACTGGACCTCTAGGAGAACAGTTTAGAACTGACAGAGCTATCCAGTATAAATAAAGTTAGTTTAGTTCAAGTTTCTTCCTAAAATAAAGTTAGTCTTTACAAATATCCAGTAAAAATAAAAGTTTGGATCAATAAGGGATGGTCCTTTTGCATGGATCTCTAGAAAACCAGTTCAGAACTGATAGAACTTTCCAGTATAAATAAAGTTAGTCTTTAGAACTGATAGAACTATCCAGTAGAAATAAAAGTTTGGATCAATAGGAGATGGTCCTTTTGGATCTCTATATAGAAAGACCAGTTCAGAACTGATAGAACTTTTCACTGTTTCCAGTATAAATAAAGTTAGTCTTTAGAACTGATATAACTATCCAGTATAGAAATAAAAGTTTGGATCAATAAGGGATAGTCCTTTTGGATCTCAAGAAAGACCAGTTCAGAACTGATAGAACGTTCCAGTATAAATAAAATTAGTCTAGTCTAGGTTTCCTCCTGTAATAACACTAAACCATTAAAAGATGACTCTGGGGAGAATAGTTTAGAACTCAGAACTGATAAAGACTTAAAGCTATCCAATGCAAATATTTTTATAAATACTTTTATATCCACATTTTCTCCATAATTACATAAAATTAGTTTAGTTTACAGTATAGTTTCAATCGATAACCGTAAACATTACACCGGGAATAGCAATTATAAATCCATTGGCTAAATGAATAAATTTGCGGAAATGCGATAAAAAAGTTAATCAGTGGAAAAATTTAGGGTTTTTTTTATTGGAACACGTGTTAAGAATTATTCAAAAGCATCAAAGACGTCAAATTTTCTGGTGTTTGTTTATCTACCAGTCAACTGCTAATTGTAAAAGATAATTTAATAATGCGCTTTGACAAAATTCCAACTGGTTTTATTGACGAAATGTTGGAATCTGTTTTTTTGCGTTCAGTAATTAAAGGCTCGTGTTTTAATGAGGCCATACATTTTTTACAGCCCTATACACAAAACCTGATGTGATACTTTATGTGCTATTTACAACATGAGCGGCTGTGTTGTATATTGGATATACGAGTTTGTCCATATCCGATACAACACAGATGCGAATGGTGTAAATGGCTGTGAAACGTCTTGATGAGAACATTCGTATTCTTCAACAATTTAAAATAAATTAATGATATTTGGTGAGAAATTGAATTTAAAGTTTACTTCAAACACTCATTGATAATTCATAAACTTATTGGCAAATCATGTCAACCATAATATGTCACGTGAAGAGGCTTCATACCTGATAAAACTCATCTTCATTAATTAGTATTCTTTGTCCATCCTAATTAGTCTTCTTTATATAAAGAATACTAATGAGACGGCATCTATTGTAGTCGTGTTTGAAGCTATTCAAAAAGTCTTCAAAACACTTGTAGTCGTGTTTTATTATATCTAAAATGTTCGTGCTGTGCTCCTACGCGTGTCAGTTATGTATCAGATATACAAACTCCTTCGCGCTTTTAAACAGCGCTGGAAACTTCCTATAAATGCATTTATTCAGCAAAAACATCCCACGAGACTTCACTTTTGGTTTTTGACTCACGGATGTTGTGGTTACTTGAGTGTGGGGCAGTTAAACAGTGGGAAATGACCAGCTTGCTTTGCGCGCACTATTTGCCTGCAAATCGGGCCTTTTAGAACCGGAAATCGGGCTAGAGCACGCCTTCGTTCTTTTGATTTGGCAAAAGCACGGAAAATGACAAATTTCGCACGCTGCCCATTTGCAAAAACAACTGCAAACTGCTCTAATTCTTTCTGTCACTTTCATTTGATCTCATCCGTGAGTCGGCCTCAACGACCCTGAAACACGCGGGTCTTCGGTCTCGCGAGAGAATCGCGACGCATAAACACGCAGGTCTTGACCATAGATATCTTATATACACTAGATAGTGCATCTAATTATTCTGCAATTCAAAAATTGAAGCCGTGATTGCAGCCTCAGGTCGTTCCCATCAAATGAGAGAAGATTCGTATATTTCCTATTTCTTAAACGGGAACTTAAATATCAAGTTAACCCTGTTCCAAATACATTTTTAAAGTATTCAAATGATGAAAGTTATTGTTGTTTTTAAGTGTTTATTAGCGAGTGGGAACGACCAACATGGCCGCCATTTATTCAAATGGGCGTAACCGCTGGAATATTTTTGGCTTCAGTTTTACTAAAAGAGATGCGCTATCTAGTGTATATAAGATATGCATGGTCTTGACCCAATTAAAACCGCGCGTGTCTGAGGGTCAGATTTGGCTTCAAGAAAAAGATAGGCAGTTTATCTGAAGGTAGCGTTTCAGTTATACGTTGTCGTAGGCGGGTTGTGTGCTTGATTTACACAGCACAACCCTTAGACTTTCCAAAGTCCGCGGTTCGTGGTTCCTGGAAGCGACGGACTTTTGTCACCCGCAAGCGCGCCAAATTCACCGGTGCATTTTTTCTCCGGTGACGTCAGTGAATGCTCATTATTATTCTGTACTAACGAGTAACGACGCCAAAACAATAATGAACTAATGAAATCGACATCCAGGTGATCTCGTGTTCGTATTTTAGCCAATCAGCGCTCAGAAAGGGTTGTCCGAATAGAAATCCATTTTCATGTATTCAGTCAATTATATCTTTCGTTATTCTTTATGAAACTA